GGCCCCAGTGCCCATGAGCTGGACAGCTGGACAGCCAGGCTGTCCCAATGGCATCCTACTAAGGTGGTCAGTCATCTAACATCAGAAACTAGAGAGTATCAGAAGCCACCTTGTCTGGCTGTCCTGTTTACAGATGAGTGAACCGAGGCCAGAGAGGGACTATGACCATCTCACAGTTAGTGTCCTGGTGCTCAGGGGAGGGGACAGGACAGGAGGCTGGAAGGGCTGTGAGGACACATCATGTCCTCCCCTGCCCCCATTTCCCTTTTCCTGGAGCCTGAAGCATAGAAAACTCGGGGCATCTTTCACATAAAATTAGGTGTTAGAAGCGGCCGGTGCCAGTGAGGAGCCCTGGATATGTTCCACCAGCTTCCTGGGGAATCTGCCTCTGGAAGGGCTGGAGGGTGGGCATGACCACGAGGTCTCAGCAGAAACACTCTGAACGGTGGGTTGGGGGGCTGCTTTGGGAGTGATTTAGGAGGATCAAGCTGTGGGCACTAGCAAAGGCCCCACCCCACCTCAGGGGGAAAAGGGGTAAGATTCCACCACAGGAGGCCCATTGCCCCGGCCCCCACCCCAGCCCCTGCCTCAGGATCGTGGGATAACACCTCCCCAGGGGCAGCCATGTCTGGAGATGTGGTCGGCAGAAACATCAGTAAAGGCGGCACCGTGTTCCCCACCACAGACCCACAGGCCTTCTCAGTGCACCCAGCTCTCAGGAGGCTGGGCTGAGGCTGGGGACACAGGGATGTGCTCAGGGGGGGGCCAGGCAGCAGTGTCCTGGAGGAACCCCCTCCCTCAGCTGCCCCCTTTCCTCCAGGCCAGCCTGGTCCACCTGCAGGCACATTGGCAGCTGGTGAGCTGCCAGCAGGTGTGTGAGCCCATGAGCATGAGCCTGATGCTGTCCTCCCCACAGCTGAACCAGTTACTGCTTCTGCCTGCTGGGCTGAGGCTCATACCTGGAGGAACAACTACAGCTAACTCCACTCTGCTGCCTCAACGTGTCCCCAGCACAATCACCAACGTAATCACACACCATGAGGCTGGGGCCTGTTACTAATGCTGTTTAGTAGGAAAAGAAACTTACAATATAAGGGACCCATGCTCATTCCTAACACTGTGTGGCATCCATAAATACCCAGCATAAAAAAACTAACATTTAGTGAGAACTTGCCATGGCCAAGCCACGGGCTAGACACGTTACAGGGTTGGTCTCACCCAACCCTCGTGTTACAGAAGAGGCACTTTGTAGGGTGAAGAACTGGAACTGGGACTCTGTCCCAGAGCTTTGTGACTCCCGGTCTGGGGTCTGGACCTCAGTGCTCCATCTGCTGGGAAAAACTAAGAAATTTGTTGGCAGCTTCTTCTCCCTAAGTCAGGCTAAACCAGGTTTCGCTGCAGTGACAAGGAAATCGCAACATCTCAAGGTTTAATGTGACAAAGTAGGTCAGGCCACCCTTCATCTGGTAGTTCATGCCACCAAGCCACACAGACTCCCAGGTCACTGTGGCGGGGACAGTGAGAGGGCTGGGCTGTAGGGGAGCATTTAAAGGCCAGGCCTGGAGGGACTTGCATCTCGTCCAGCCAAATGTCATCGGCCACACTCAGGAGCATGGAGCAGAGCCCAGCTTCACTGCAAGGAGTACCAGGAAGTAGAGTCTCCCGGGGTTGCCATGCAGAGACTATGATGTGCATAGCACTCCCTGCCTCGTCACCGCCTTTTACTGGCTTTTCTTCTCACAACCCACCCCCGTACCCACCAACGGTTCCATATACACCTCCCTCCTGTGTCCCTTCTCACAAAACCTTGTTCTCAGCAAGTAGCCACTCAGTCTCCCAGAGCTATTAATAAATAACACACTCAAACTCTGGCTGGTGTGGCTCAGTGGATGGAGTGATGGCCTGTGAACCAAATGATCACCAGTTTGATTCCCAGTCAGGGCACATGCCAGCCTTGTGGGCCAGTACCCCAGTAGGGGATGCACAAGAGGCAACCACACATTGATGTTTCTCTCCTTCTCTTTCTCCCTCCCATCTCTAAAAATAAAGAAATAAAATCTTTAGAAAAAATAAATAACACATTCAAGAGCTTCTCCTAAGAGTGTTTGCTTTTTAATCAAGGGTTATTCAACACTGAAAGGCCTTAAACATCCAGAGGAATGAATATGTAATGGTTGAAGTTGAGGCCCATAACAACAGTACCAGATATTTGAGAGACATCCACCCTGTTCCCTCAGACATGCCTCAGACTGAAGGGGTCTGAGCCACCTCCTGCCTTCCCCTCCCTCCCTCTGCCACTGGTCTTGCTGGCAGGATACCAGACTCCAGGCACTGGCTGAAGCCCATTTTCTATCAAGGACATAAGTGGAGGCTGATAAAGAGGAGCTTACCCTTCACTTGAATTACCAGTCCCAGAGCTATGTATACAGGGCTTCCCGTACAGTGTATCCTTCCCACCCCCCACAGCGAGGTTCTGCTGTCCTTTTAGAGGCAGAGCATGGAGAATTAGCTGTGACGGTCCTCAATGCAGGGACCTGAGGGTGGGGGCAGACCCCCCCCAGGCAGCTCCCCTTCCATGCCACTGGGGAGACTGGCACGCTGTGACTAGGAGCTTCTGGACCCAATCTCCCACCAAGGCAGAAGGACAGACCCCTCTACACAGGACAGGTCTCCACCTGGAGAAAGCCCCTGAGGCCCAGCGCTGGGGAGGCCCATCACCCTGCTGCCAGAGGCCCGCTCATGTTCAAGAGGCTCATCCTGCTGCTCTTTCACCAGCCTCTGTCCCTGGGCTGCCCCTACCTCGTCCTGCTGCATCAACTCCAGCATCTTTAGAAACAAAGCATGCCTGTCTTTCGTTCCTGTTTGCTCTTTTTATTCCTGAAACTCCACAGCCCATCAGATGCCCTATGGATGCACACACGTGCACGCTCAAACACAGGCCTGTACACAGGTGTGCTGAGGCACACACTGGCATGAATGCAAATACACTGGACAAGACACACAGGTACACACCGACGCACAATGCAGAGATTCAGGAGTGTAAGGGTGCGAAGCCACACAGAGATGCACATGCACAGAGGTACATGGACACACGGGCCTATCCACAGCTAACCAGGAATGGATACAATGTACACATGCCCAACCAACACACAGACACACACCGACACACAGGTCATGCACATACACAGATAGATTCCCACATACACAGACATACACAGGTATACCAAGATGACTTGTGACACACCACGATACATATGCATGCATGTGCGCATGAGCACCCACAGAAATACTTGTACACCTTCCCTGATCCCCATGTAGAACTACAACCCAGGGCTCTCTGCCCTCTGAAAACCCAGTGTCAGGGCAAGCTTCCTGCTCCACCAACTCCACGTCCTACCTGGACCCCAGCACCCCACCTGGAACAAAGAGCAGCCACAGCCTTCTGTCTCAGGGTCCCTAGGGTCTGAGAAAGTGGCAGGAGGGGCAGAAGTGCAGGCATGGGCTACAGAACTGGGGTGGGACCCACAGTGCTACCAGACGCCCTGATGTGAGCCCCGAGGCGCTCCTGGTGGGAGGTGGCTCCCTCCTGAGAAAGTGGCCCTTCCAGGGAGGCAGACCAGGACCTAGGGGGAGGGAGAAGGATTGGGGGGAAGAGCCACTCTCCTGGGAATAAGGAACATGTATCAGAAGAAGTTGGGGCCTTTGAACTCACCCAAAGGTGGCTGTGAATTGGGAAAAAAGAGCCACTGTTAGGCCAAAAAGACACAGTTACACAAGGCTGCTCTCTATCCCCTCCCATGTGGTTACCACAGGTGGGATCTCACTACTGTGAAAGGAGACAGAGAGAGAGAGAAGGGGAAGGAAGGAAGGGAGGGAGGGAGGGAGGGAGGGAGGGAGGGAGGGAGGGAGGGAGGGAGGAAGGGAGGAAGGGAGGGAGGAAATGAAAAAAAGATACCAGGCCCTGGCAAGTGTGGCTCAGTTGGTTGGCACGTTGTCCCACAGACAAAAGGCTGTCAGCCAGATTTCCCATCAGGGCACGTGACTAGGCTGTGGGTCTGGTCCCCACACCTGGGTGCACATGAGGGCAATCTGATTGATGCTTCTCTCTCTGTCTCTCTCTCATCCCAGGTGTCTCTCTTTCCCTCCCTTCCCCTCTCTAAAATCAATAAGCATGTCCCTGAGTGAGGATAAGAAAGAAAAAAAGGAAGGGAGGGAGGGAGGGAGGAAGGAAGGAAGGGCGGACTCACAGGCCCCAGACGGAGCCACCTGTGCTAAGCCCACCCAAATCGAGACTTACTACCGAACCTAACTGCAGTCTCAGCCTCTCCCAGGAATGTTACCTTTAACCAGCCAATGTGCAGCTACCTGCTCAGAACTAGTGACGTAATCCTCTTGGTAGACCACTTCCAAAGGGAGATGGCCTCACCTCAACCATCTGTTCTTTGCTACAACATTCCATCTGACCCCTTCTACCTAGAAAAGCCTTCCATTTTGTACAGCTCCTCAGAGCTCCTTTCTATTTGCTGGATGGGATGCTGCTTGATTCATGAATCCTTGAATAAAGCCAATTTCCTCTTAAAATGCACTCAGCTGAATTTTGTTTTTTTAACACTCCTCCAATTCTCCAATCAGTGACATCACCCTCCTCTTGGACAGCCGCCCCACTCCCACCACACCCCGAAGCCCACAGAGAAGCAAACAAAGCAGGAGGGCCAGTTCAGCAATGCCCACCCCATGAGAGGTGGGGAGGGGCAGGGTGGAAGCCCCCTACCACACAGCACAGGAGTCCTGGGAGAGCCACTTAATCCGGGCTCCCCCCCCAGGTGGCGCTGCAGCCAAATACCTCACGCCCTACCCCTTGACCCCACGGGGGGGGGGGGGGGTGCAACTCTACCATCTTTTACTTCCCTGAAAGTCCCACCCTGCAGGAGCGAGCTTTTCCAACCCCAGGAGCCCTCCAAGGAGCAATGAAGAGACAAGAGTCAGGAACTGCGGTGGGAAGTCTGGCTTTATGAGCAGGGGAGGCTGGAGGCCCAGCTAGGGCCCAGGGTGGGTCGGGGCAGCCAGGAGGGGTGTGGGCAGCAGGCTCCAAGGCAGGATCTCCAGATGGCTGGCTTAGGCAGCGCAGACGAAGGGCCGACGCTGGCAGCATCGGGCACGTCGCCACCTACCCCCTGGTGGTAGAGAGCACAGCTATGTCAGCTGTCCATCCTGGTGTGGCCTGAGACCCCATCCCTCCTCCTGTGTCTTTCTTGTTTCTTGCCTGTCACCACTCATCAGGACTCGTTGGCCACACATCCCCACCAGTTCCAGGCATTGGGTCTTCACACCAGAAGGCAGTGTGCTAAGTGTCTGTCTGGACCCCTAGGGAATCCTCATAACCATTCAAGAGGGCGGGTTTGCCACCAACTCCTTTCACAGGGGATGGGCCTGAGGCTCAGGAGCAGGTGGAGGGCTGGGATGGGGATGGATTGTGGCTGCCTCACTGCCCCATGCATGGCCTCTGCACTGGACTGAGCTCCCTCATATCGGGCAGCAACACCATGGAAGCTGGCACACTAACAGTCAGCCCTCCCCAGTTCTCGCATCTCTCCTTCGTCCCTCATCCACACCTTTCATTTGCTCCTGTCACTCTCATCTGCCACATCGGTGGCTTCCTCTGAGCAGATGAAGGAATGGAGCCCCCAGGCCCTGAGCCAAGCTTTGTGAGAATGGACAGCCCTGACCCAACCCACACACAGGGCACACCCTCACCCTCCAACTCAGCCCTCCTCACACACTGGACATTGGTTCTCCAGTTGGGCAAGGCTATGGGTTTGGGAAGGTGTGTTCGGGCAGCTCAAAGGGACAGTATGTAGGAGTCCATCCCTCCCCTTTACCCTGGTGCCCAGTCCCCCTCACCTCTGGTGCATAGAACTATGCAGCTGCCAACCCCACAGTTAGGCTGTCCTGCAGCCCAGTTCGAATAATTCCAGCAGCTCCTGTCAACCCAGTGAGGCCTCTGTAAGAGGTAGAAGTCCAGGAAGACAAACTCAGGGGGTTCAGAAAATGCCCACTGATATCCCTTTCTGGTACTGCTCACCCCCAGCTAGAAGCCAGAAATCCTAGACACCCACCCCTGAGGCTGTGCAGGCAATGACAACTGAGCCATCACACACAGCAGGCTTCTCAGGCTCTGCCGTGAATACAAATCTCCTGTGGGTCTTTTTAACAGGCAGATCCCGATTCAGGGTTCACAGATGGGACCCAAGGTAGTGCCTTTCTAACAAGCTTCCAGAAGATGCTAATAACTGCTTGGTCCATGGACCACACTTGAGGAGCAAATACGATGGCACTTATTTACCCACTAGGCCAGAGGCACTTGGACAGAAGAAGGACCCCATCTAGACATGAGGAAGCCATCCAGCCTGAAAGTGACCAAGCTGGGCATGGACCCTGTCTCTTGACTCCAGTGGTCTGCTGGCAAGGGTTTAACAATCAGCTCTGGGGCAAGATGAGAAGGCAGAGAGTGGGAGGAATGCTGATTTGTAACAATTGCCAATTTCCTTGGTGTGAACACACCCACCGTGGCGCATTTCATACTGCAGGCATGAAGTCCTTGATCAATGGGGTGAAATGAGATTAGTACAAACACCAGTTCTCCTGAGCCAGCACAAGCCAGCACCCACACCTGGGTCACCTCAGGTGCTGAAATGAGGCCTGAGGCTAGGCAGGTGCTCTCTTGAGGCATTCAGAGACCTTCTTGTACCTGGGAGTTGGCCCCTCACTTACCGAGCCACAGACTCTGCCTCCAATCCAGACCTGGCCTCCGTTGACTCCACTGGTGATGCACTGGAGATAATAGTTGGCAATGAAGTTGTGGATGGAGACAAGGTTGCCTCTGTAGCACCTCGAGCAGGTTGCCTACAGAAAGAAGAAGCAGGGTAGAAAATTCAGTTCTTTATCTGGTCCCAGAGTCCAGGAAGGAGCTCTGCATCCCTTGTCCAGTCAGAAATCACGGATCTTCTAGCTCCCTCATTCCCTTCTCTTGCTCTTTTATCTGTCATCAGAATCTTTTTGCAGGAAATACTTTCTAATACTTAGAAAAAATCATAGCCAACATTTATTGACAGATTCCATCAACCCAGGGACTATTGCAAATACTTTCATCTATTATTTAATTTAATAATCACAACAACTCTAACAAGTTGGTACTATATATCTCCATTGTACAAGTGAAAATACTGAAAGTCTCAGCCCCACCACCCTGCCCTGAACAGCTAATCCTCCTTGAAAGGCTGTATTTGGTGGTCAGTGGTCACACCCAGTCCTTGCAGCTGACTGGCCCAGATAAATCAGTCCCATTGACCTGCCCACAGCAATCAAGGTTGGACTACAAAGGAGGGTGTACTCAGCCCACATGAAGGACACAGCTCGAGTACCCAGCATGGACGATAGAGGAGGCTGTGCCCTAGACGCTACAGGATATCTACCACCTAGGCCACACTACCAAGACACGGATTCAAAGCACTCTCCCTAACACATAGAAACAAACACAGGTAGGCTGCCAAAATGGAGAGGAAAAGGAACATGGCCCAAATGAAAGAACAGATCAAAACTCCAGAAAGAGTGCTAAGTGAAATGGAGATGAACAATACATCACATGCAGAGTCAGAAAAATTATAGTAAAGATGCTTGAGGAACTTAGTGAGGACCTCAACAGCATAAAAAGATCCAGTCAGAAGCAGAACATACACTAGTTGAAATAAAGATCAATTTACAGGGAAATAGCACTAGAGTGCATGAAGTTGATAATCAAATCAATGATTTGGAAAAACAACCAATCAGAACAACAAAAAGAAAACTGAATCCAAAAACAATAATGATAGTATAAGCAGCCTGTGGGACAACTTCAAGAGGTCCAATACTAGCATCATAGGGGTGCCACAAGGAGAAGAGAAAGGTCAACAAATTGGAAATCTATTTTTTAAAATAATGAAAGAAAAATTCCTTAATTTGCTGAAGAAAATAGACATGAAAGTCCAGGAAGCACAGAGATTCTCACACAAGATGGATGCAAAGATACCCACTCCAAGGTACATCATAATTAACATGCCAAAAAAATAACTATAAAGCAAGAATCTTAAAAGCAGCAAGAGAACAGAAGTTAGTTACCTACAGGGGAGTTCTCATAAGACTCTCAGCTGATTTTGCAAAAGAAACTTTGCAGGCTAGAAGGGACTAGCAAAAAAATATTCAAAGTCATGAAAAGCAGGGACATACAGCCAAGATTGCTGTAACCCAGCAAAGCTATTGTTTAGAATCAAAGGGCAGAGAAAGAGCTTCCCAGGCAAGAAGAAACTACAGGAGTTTATCATCACCAGACCATCATTTTCTAAAATGTTACAGGGAAGTATTTAAGAAAAAGAAGAAGATCAAAACTATGAACAATGAAAGGCAAAAATACATATCTATCAACAATTGTATCTAAAAAACAAACTAAGAAAATAAGAACAGAATCTTTAATTTGGAGAGCATTTTCATGGTTGCCAGATGGGAAGCAGTGTGGGGAAATGGATGAAGAGGTCAGGGAATTAAATACAAATAAATAGTTACAGAATGTCCCTATGTAATAAAGTTCAACATAGGAAATGGAATAATTAAAGAACTTATATGCATGAACCATTAACTTGAACAATGGTGGGGGTATTGCCAGAGGGAGTAGGGAATGCTGGGTAGAGAGGGGCCAAGGACAAAAAATCAAGACAACTGTAAGAGCATAACCAATAAAACATAATTTTTTAAAAAACAAAGACTGAAGCTCTGAAAGCTGAAGTGACTTTCCTAGGTAACACAGCCAATAGCAGGCACAGCCAAGCTTTTACACAAGTATATCTGATACCAAAGCTTTTTGTTGAAATCTGTGATTCAAAGTGCTGTCTCCAGACCAACATAATGTCACCTGGCACTTCGTAATCAATGCAAACTCTTGGGCACCAAAACTCTATCTCCCAACCAGACCTCTAGGGACGTCTGACGCACCTGGACTTTGAGAACCACTACTCTGAATGAAGAGGGAACAGAAGTTTGAATCCACTCTCATTCTATCCTTGTGGTCCTCCTTCCACACTAGCAACAGTGACACTTACCTGAGCTACAGAAAACTGTCTCGGGGTCTGCACCAAGATGTAGCGACAGGTCTTGCACCCAGGACGGCCCACTATTTCAACTGTGTCCTCGGTCTTGGGGCACTGCAAGTCGTTGTCCAGGGCACTTGGGTCCCACTGCATGGCCTTCTCCTCCTCACAGTCATTTTGGTAGCCAGAAGCCTCCACCTGCTCTTCTTCTGACTGAATCTCCTCTTTAGTCTGGGCCAACTCTCCCTCCTGATCTCCTGAACCTTCCAGATCCTGGCTCAGGTCTGCCTGTGTGTCTTGGCTGTCCAGGTGGGGAGCATGATTCTCTGGGAAGAAGAGATAACCTACCATCAGGTGGGGTTCTGCCTTCTTCCAGCACCACGGACAGCACCACGGGGCCTTCCTAGTGCTGCTGCTGTCTGGAGCCCAGACTGGAAGGATCTCCTCCATGTTGGGTGAGGTGAGAACTCACACAGGTGCACCAGACACTGATGCTGACTGACACACGTGTGTATTTCTGGGGGTGGGGGGATATGAAGCCCTTCATCTTCACAGGTGAGTGGTTTTTACCTTGTGAACGAGCCTGACAAAAAGGTAAGGTCACAGTTCTGAGTCCAGAAGAAATCTCACCAGAGGAGAGCTGGGTCAGCTGAAGAAGGAAAGCCGTGACCCTGGCCCCAAGGCAGCCACAACAATGCAGGAAAGAGGAGGAAAGAAAAACCTGGATGAGAAGGGAAGGGGAGGACTTACCCAGATGAAAAGCAGCAACGGTCCCCAGCAGGAGAAGGGGCAGCAGCAGGGCGTGTTTCATATTTGCTCAGTCTTGTGACAGGGTCACAGCACCACGTTCCCTCCTTGAAGATGTCCTGTGTGTCTGCACAGCCCTGTCGCTTAACAGAGATGTGGCTGTTTGTTTAATCTGCTGATAAAAGGACAAAGTAGACAGCTTCTTTCTCCCCCAATAAACAGACCCTAACCTGGAGACTCAGCAAAAGGATGTGGGGGAGTCAGCTCAAGTACAAAAGTCCCCTCTACATCAGAGCTCCATCACTGTCCCTGGGACAGCACTTAGCCCAGACCCTTGTCCCTGCAGGAGCAGGTCTGCTCGGGGTCAGAGCAGCCTTCACTCACACTGGGGGAGGACTGGAAGGACAGTGGCCAGCACAGTCCTAAGGACAAGCCATATAGGCCTCTGCCCTCTCCCAAGCTGTGAACCCACCCTGCTTGGGAAACCAGGGGGCCACTCACCTTGCAAGAGTCTCCACTCTCAGTACCTCAGGCTGCTGGGCATCCAAGGCAGCCCTTATACAACAGGGCTTTTGGGGAAGTGGGAAGACCCCAGAATGATTGCCCCAGGCTGGGGTGCTGGGCAGTGGAGCTGATAAGAAGACAGTTGCTCACTGCATGTGCTCTCTGCTGGGACTACAGGGACCTGCCTCCCAGGGCCAACAGACTCATATGGGTGTCCAAACACCCAGGCACTGGAGAAGGCCCCGGACATACTTATTACTGGCACCTCAAATGTACCCCAGCCTCTCACTCTAGGAGAAGCCTGCCTCTGGTCAATATCCCAGCAAATAAAGTAGAGGACGCCAGGATGCTGAAAGACCCAGAGGGAAGGAGAAAGGGAAGGAGGAAGGGAGGGGACACAGGGAGAATGAGCCTCATTCTCAAGAGTGGTTGTCTAGACCAGGCATTTTATATGATTCCATCCCAGAATCCTACCTTCACCCTCATTCCCATGAGAATGCATGAGATCCTCACTTGACAGGTGTGAAAAATGAGATTCCGAGAGGGAAAGCCACTTTGCCAAGGAAGCACAGGAAGTGGGGGGCCTGAGATTTCTGTCTTTTTTGGCTCCCAAACCTCCCCCACCCCACCTCCCCCTTCTCCCATTCTTCCCACACCTTCCTTCTTGTCCTCCCTCTCTTTCTCTTTCTCACTCTTCTTCTCCCTCTTTTTTTGTCTTAAATGTGTGAAAACCTATGCTCTCTCTTCCATGCTATGGGTCAGGATCAAGGTTCCCGGCCTTTGCACTATTACCATCTGCAGTCAAATACGCCTTTGATGTGGGAAGCTGTCCTCTGCCCTGTAGAAAGTGTGGCAGCATCCATGGTCTTTACCCAATAGACCTCAGGGGCACCTCCACTCAGTCAATCCAATTGTCCCCCAGAGACCATTGAAAACATCTCCACACATTTCCAGATACCCTCTGGGGAGCAAAGTTGCCACACTGATGATCACTGATCTAGAATATGCCATTTTGTTCCACTTCACGGTAAATCTCTGGGCCAAGAGGCCACAGCTGGACTGGAAAGCTTCATGCAGAATCACTCACACACCCTGTGGGCAGCTGGCCACCCCTTCACCACCACTCCCCAGCTCCCACCAGCCCTCCATCACCACCAGGACCAGGACTAGGGGAAGAGATTGAGGCACACACTTCAAGTGCAAATTTTAAGAGGGCAATAAAGAATTCAGTAGTCAAGATGAATACTTTCATGCAATCTTTCTGAAAAATCAAAATACATGCAAAAAATCTGTGATGAACAAAATATCAAAAGTTGAATCAACCAAGCTCCAGACAAGGGCACTGTAGCCCCAAAACACCCCTGCAACCATGGAGTCCTGACTTTACTGGATATCTCTGCCAGGAGCTGCTGGCCTTGCCAGGGTGGGTGACTCAGCTCTGCGACATTCTCCCTGGGCAGTGCCCACTTCTTCAGACCCCAGCACAGCCCTCCAGGATCATGGCACCAGGGACAGGTGTCCCACAGGTGGAAAAGGCTTGGGCTTCTTCCTCTTCTTGCTCTTGAAGGGAACCTGCAAATGGAGAAGTATCTGAGAGGTCACTGCTGGGCCTCATTGCAGAGTAACTAACGGTCTGGGCTGTTATCTCTCTGGCCCAACGGACCAGACCCTCAGCTTATCAACCTGACATGGTTGGTGGGGGGGGGGGATTGGCCAATTCTGGGGCCCAATTCTTAGTTGGGGATTTGAAGCTTGAGGCCACCCTGGTGGAAGAAGGGGGAGAGCCAGACCCCACCCCATCGTTCTCCTCCCTCCTGGGGCCCAGACCAGGGGCACCCCATCATTCATGGTTGTGATGACGATGACCAACAGGGTCAGAGGCTCTCAAGAGCAGGCCCCACTGTGAGTTTTACACACGCTGCTTCATTTGAACAACCTGTGTTACACGTGAGCAAATGGCATCTCAGAGACTGAACAAGGTGCCCAGATCACACAGCAAGTCAGAGACAGGCCTCAGGGCAGGTCTTCCAGCTCCTCTGCCCCCTCTCACTCACCTCCCTTCTCTGCAGCCTGTCCCTTCCCCCTGTTTTCTTTGCACTCAAACCCCAGGCAAAGATACTTCAGTGGCTTTGATGACCACAGTGATGTCTGAGTTAAAACTGGAAATGACATTGTTGAAAGGCCTCCATAGACTAAACACTATATTCCATGGAGTAAGGAACACTTCCTTCCTTTCTTCCGTCCTTCCTTTTTCTTCCCTTTCTTTCCTTCTGCCTTTCTTCTCTTTCTTTCTTTCTCTTTCTTTCATGATTTGTCTTTTCTTTTTTCTTTTCCTCCCTCTCTCTCTGTATTCCTCTTTGTCTCTCTACCCTCCCCTTACATACCCAGTACTTCTTGAGCCTCCATTCTGTGCCAATTCGCGTGAAAAGCCCCAGGATACAGTGCACAAAACAGGATAGTCACTGCCCACATGGAGTTCCCAGCCTAATGGAAGACACTGATTTGTTTTTTTTTTTTAGCTTTTTTTTTAAAATAAATTTATTTATTTATTTATTTGAATTAATTATGCTGTTACAGTTGTTCTATTCCCCCCTTCATTCCCCTCCACCCTGCCCCCCCAACCCCACCATTACCCCCCTTTAGTTTATGTCCATGTGTCTCAAGTCCTTTAGGTTCTATATTTCCCATACTATTCTTGCCCCCCCATCTATTTTCTATCTACTGTCTATGCTACTTGTTTTCTGTACCTTCTCCCCCCGTCTCCTCCTCCCACTCCCCTGTTGCTAACCCTCCTTGAGATCTTCATTTCTATGTTTCCACTCCTGATCTAGCTGTCCTTTTAGTTTGCTTTCGTTTTAGGTGTGGTTGTTAATAACTGTGCGTTTGTTGTCCTTTCACTGTTCATGTTTCTTTAACTTCTTTTTCTTAGATAAGTCCCTTTAACATTTCATATAATAAGAGCTTGGTGATGATGAACTCCTTGAATTTGGTCTTATCTGAGAAGCACCTTATCTGTCCTTCCGTTCTAAATGAAAGTTTTGCTGGGTAGAGCAATCTTGGTTGTAGGTCTTTAGATTTCATGACTTGGAATATTTCTTTCCAGCCCCTTCTTGCCTGTAAGGTCTCTTTTGAGAAATCTGCTGACAGCCTGATGGGGACTCCTTTGTAGGTGATTGTCCCCTTACCTCTTGCTGCTTCCAGGATTCTTTCCTTCATTTTAATTTTGGCTAATGTAATTATGATATGCCTTGGTGTGTTTCTTCTTGAGTCCAACTTTTTTGGTACTCTCTGAGCTTCTTGGATTTCTTGGAAGTCTATTTCCTTTGCCAGATTGGGGAAATTTTCTTTTATTATTTGTTCAAATAGTTTTTCCACTGGTGGTTGTGTCTTTCCCCCCTTCTGGTACCCCTATAATTCGGATATTGGAGCGTTTATAGATGTCCTGGAGGTTCCTAAGCTTCTCCTCATTTTTCTGAATTCTTATTTCTTCATTCCTTTCTGTTTGATGATTTTTTTCTTCTTCCTTCTGGTCCACTCCATTGATTTGAGTCCCAGTTTTTTTTTTCATCTCTATGGTTTTCCTGTGGAATTCCATTCATTTCCCTTAATTTAGCCTTCATATGTTTCTCTAATTTGTGGCTATAGTCCACCAGATCTGTGAGGAAGCTGATGACCAGTGTTTTAAACTGTGCGTCTGAGAGATTTGCTATTTCTTCGTCACTTAGATTTATCTGTGGGGCTTTGAGGTCTTCCTGCGACATTTTTGGTCTGTTCTGGCCCTTTAAGTGGGAGGAGCGGCGCCTTGGGTTCCCAGGTCGCTGGGTTGTGACGCTGTATGTGGGGGCGTGGTCAGAGCGGGGAAATGGCAATGGCGCCACCGCCGCCGCCGGTCCAAGCGCTCACTCCCTCACCCGCGTGCAACCATGCAACCTCAGTCAACTCGCTGCCACCGCCTCCCCCACTGACTCCTCCGTAGTCGCTCACCCGGTGGGCCGCTCGGTTGCTCACTAGGTCCAATCCTGGGTTTGGAACCCGTGCGACTGGATTCGCGCGTCTGGATTCCGAGCCCGGGTCGACTCCTTTGTAACTCCTCACCCGACACCGGTTTCGCCCCTTACCGGTCGGGCCGAAGAATTTGTTGTTAGCGGACTTCCGAAAAGTTCAGTTTTCCGTGTTCTGGTTGTGTTTTCTGATGCTAATATTTAGTTGTCCCTCAACTTGGTTGTGTGAGGAGGCAGGCACATCCACCTTAAACCTCCATCTTGGCGGAAGTCTCCAGAAGACACTGATTTGTTAAAATCATATGTAAACTGTCTCTGTCACTAGCCTATCAGGGAGAGGTACCTGGTGCTTTGAATCCCTGTTACTAGGTTAACAGGCCAGAAGGGGAGGAAAAGAGATCCAAGGTGAGAGCAGAAGGAACTGTAGGAGTTAGCGAAGGGTTAGAAGGACACATTCAAGGCAAGGAATATAAAACCGGCTCACTTTAAATGTGATTTTGTGTTTATAATAAATATTAATAGCTGCTGTTAATTAAGGACCGACTGTGTGCTGGAACCAAGCACTTTTTATGCGGGGACTCATTTATCCTCACCACTCTCAGAGGTGGGCACCCTAACCCCCATTTCCGGTGAGAAAACATGGCACTGAGAAGCTACTCATTCAAGGGTATGCAGCCTGAGAAGGTGAGAACCGAGGTGCCCTGGCCCTCTATGCACCCCCGCCCCCGGCTCCACCAGGAACACACAGCCTGGACCCCATGATGGACAGGTCTGCACTCATGGACTGTCTGCACGGACTCCTGGGGAAGCAAAGGTGGGCACTGGAACTGAACAGGAAGATTGATGTCTTTCACTGACTTTGGCTTAAGACTGGGTAATTTTGCCTTTGAAAGTTTCCCATTCTAAACAGCACAAGTGCCACTTTTTCAGGCAGAAGCAAGCTTGGGCTAATGCTTGCAGGGTGGTTTCTGTCTTAAACCAAGGCCACAGCATGGCACCGGGAGTGAAAGGT